TGGTTGAGATTCGGACGGCAACACTGTCTGTCACATTGTTTGCATTGGCGTTTGAGCATGGCTTCATCGCTTTGGGTACGGTTATTGGTTATTTTTATCATCAGCACGCACTTGTTACGAGACATGCATTGTCAACGATGGGTGGATGTCACATGAAGCATGGATAGGTGGTATTTGTTAGGAGCATTTAATCAGAAGCATTGTTCATTCTCTGCCAAAGCGCCGAGTGTTTTGCTCCCCAGTGACGGGCATCGTGCCCCATCGGCCTCGTATTTCTGATCGTCAAGCATTAAGCTGACGATGGGGTATTTTGTCTGAACGGTCAGCACTGCGTGTGGATATAAGTGACAAGGTCACCTACTGTGTCATTCTCTCATCATGCTGGTCGTCTTGATCGCATATTCTCAGTATCGCATGCGTCAAGGCCATTCTCACTGCTGCATCCTGTCGGCTCCTCCTGGCTGCTCATTTGCATGGTATTTTTCAAGGAACTCCCTCATCTTCGCCCACAGCTCGGCCTCCATGTCGCGCTCGACCTTGTTGTTGCGGCTGTTGAGCCAGCCAACGTCCAGGTTGCCAATGGTGCCAACTCCATTTGGCTCCAACGAGGGTCTGGCGACGATCTTGGCATCCTCGTTCATGACAACCTGCCTTTCCTTAGAAGCGTCGTTGCGGAGCTTGATGATGCCGGCCTCCTCGAGGCCCATGATCTGGCGCTTCATATGAACGTCGACTGTGTGAAGGGTGGACAAGAGGGAGTCCATTGAGTCTTTGAAGAGCTGCTTCTGGTCTTCGGGGGAGACGGTACTTGTGGTGTTGGACGACGAAGACTGGGGCTTGTCGCTCAGGGCGGACATGGCGGAGGAGGTGTGGTTCATGAGCTGGACAATGTTCTTGTCGATGTCGCAGAGTTGCTGAATGCGTTCTTCGAGGGTGAAGGGCTCGGCGGGCTGATCGCCTGACATGTTTGTGTCGGCCATGTTTGAGGATTCTTTGTTTGCCGCCTCGATCTCGAATCCTTCAAAGCGACGTCAAGGATGAGATGAGAGGTTGAATGAGTGAAGCTCAAAAGATACATCAATGAGGTACCGCGTCGCAAAGAAAATGTGGGCCTGGAAGGTGAAAAAGGTCGGAGCTCCTTCCAATGATTGGGAAAGCTCGCAGTGCACCAGTCCCGAAATAGGCTAGCGCGACCTTTGATGGATATTTTCCGCTGCCAACCTCTTTCCACGTCTTTGCAGCCTTGCAGGGGATCGAGCCTCACTCATCGGGGTGACGCGACAACATCAAAACCATCAAGCTTCTCTCAGCGAAAACCTAGCCATCAACACCGAGCAAGGCCCGGATCATTTATTCATCGTAATCACTCTCAGTTCGAATTTCCGTATAGATATTGTCGCTCTTTCGCGACCTAGATTCACGTTTGCGACCACGCGCCTCACCCGCCCGACGAGGAGAATGTACCATCAGTTTTGGACCGAGTAATCGAAAAAGGACGTCAAGAAGACTGTAAATCTAAAAAGATACGATCAAAATGTCGGCCAACGCCGGTCAGACGGGAGCAGGAGCCCCTCCAGGAGGAGCTCCAAACGCTGGGGGCGCGCCGGGTACCTACCAGCAACCTGCATCTACAACACCAGGCGCCGCAGCTCCTCCAGTCTCGACAACCCCCATACCGCCTCCTGCCACCACACCAGCGCCCGCGCCGGCGCCCGCTGCCGCTCCAATGTCGAATCAAAATCTGAACCAGATCGTAGGTATCCCATTTATTCATGTTTATCCTCAGGCGGGGTGAGGTCGATGGGGAAGGTGCTGCCTGCGAGGTGGTCGTAGCGACGGTGGCCCTTTCATTACGAGTGTGATGAAGTGAGATTGTCCACAAAGAGTCTCGCTCTCCCATGTGCTGCACCAGTTTCACCAGTCAGAAGCCACGACGAAACATCACCCACCCCTCATTTGTCGAGTCTGCATCATTTCTGTAACGACTTTTGCGCATTAGGAATCATGTCGCGAGCTGCAACGGTCCAAGTGGCCCAATATTTACAGCCTCTTGATGATCTATTCTGGAACAGGGTGCATGGAGAAGTATGACGCCAGATACTATACGACGAGGACAATTATGGCTGGGAGAGGCAGAAGGCGCGCCTCTTGATCCTGCATCTTGATCGACGTCTTCAACGATCCTTGGATTATTGCTAACAGAAGCTTTAGGTCACAGACTACCTTCTCAAAAGGGGTTATACCCGTACCGAGACCATCTTTCGCCAAGAATCAAGTCACCTGGGTCCAGACGGTCGACCCATTCACAACAAGGTCGACGACCTTGGCCCGAAGAAGTACCTCAAGGCCTTCAACCTGCTGCGCGAATGGGTCGAGAACAACCTCGACATCTACAAGGTGTGCTCTCAGCCTCCTCCTATCTGTCAATGCTAACACCTCCCAGTTCGAGCTGAATAAGCTGCTTTGGCCCGTCTTCGTCTACTCCTGGCTCGAGCTGGTCACGCAAGGTTACTCGGAAGATGCTAAGAGCCTCCTCAACACCCTGAAGCCATACTTTGAGAACATCCACGGCGACGACCTCAAGACCTTTTCCACCGTAACCCTGGCCCTCCACGCCAAGGAGAACCCCACCACCAAGCTCTACCGCGAGAACAAGTATCGCATTCCCCTGAACCAGCATGTTAGCGGCAATCTCTTCCACTTCCTCGAGCGTGAGCGCGACAACGGCGGCGCTGTCATCACCTACATCCTCCAGACCTTCTGTCAGCTGGATTCGACCTCTCGCGGGCCTATCGAGCCCTTTAGCTTCGAGGCAATCTACCGACGGAGTCAGAACCTGGACTTTGACGAGGTCGACCTGCAGGAGGGAATCCCTGGAGCCTTTACGGGTATCTCCAACCGAGACCTGCTCGACAAGACTGCGCCTTTGAAACTGGGTGCTTTGCCAATGGAGGAAGATCTCCGCGACGACGTGCGGGCTGAGCTTGCTGATGAGGATGCTCTCAACCCCCCGCCCGATGGCAGGTCTACTCTGGTCGACGAGTTTGACCGCAAGATCAAGAGGGAGGAGAGTGCGGATGGCCCTAACAGAAGCGATCTGCCTCTTCCCCCGTCCCGCGCCCGCGATGTTGTGATGGAGATGCAGAAGGTTAGAGAAAATCGCGATCGATTCAAGATTGAGGGCCGCACCGGTGGCGTTGGCGTTCCCGTCAGCGCATGCATGTTTACATTCCACAACACTCTCGGAAGGTAAATCTCGTCTCTTCTTTGCTGGCGAACGCAGCTAACTAAATAGTGTTGCATGCATGGACTTCTCCCAAGACCACGAGCTGGTCGCAGTCGGCACCACCGACTCCTACATCCGCGTGTGGCATCTCGAGGGCAAGGCTCTCAAGTCAAAGAGAGCCGACGAGAAGGATTTCCAGTTCAACAACCGCAAACTCATTGGCCACTCTGGACCGGTATACTCCGTCTCCTTCTCTGACGCCATCGCCAAGCTTGAGCACGCGCCGTTTGGCGAGGAGGGCAAGGGCGAGCAGCCCATTGAGACCAGCTCGAAGCTGTTGCTGTCTAGCTCCGCCGACGGCACCGTTCGCATCTGGTCTCTGGACATTTGGGCCTGCGTGTGCGTCTTCAAGGGTCATGATGGTCCCGTTCTGAGAGCAAGCTGGAGTCCTCACGGACACTACTTCTTGACGGGCGGTTGGGACAAGACGGCTCGCATCTGGATGCAGGACCATGCCTCGGCCCAGCGCATTCTCGTCGGACACGACTCTAGCATCTCTGCGGTTGCCTGGCATCCAAACGGTACCTACGTGTTCACCGCCTCTGACGAGACGGACAAGTCGGTTCGCATGTGGTCTGTAGTCACCGGCCAGTGCGTCCGCGTCTTTAGTGGACACACGGATTACATCTCGTCACTTGAGTGCGCACCCAACGGCAAGATCCTCGCCAGTGCCGATAACAGCGGCAACATCTTCTTCTGGGACATCCAGAAGGGCGCGCGGATTAAGCGGTCTCGCGGCCACGGCAAGGGTGGTATCTGGTCAATGAGCTTCAGCGTCGAGTCCAATGTTCTCGTGTCTGGTGGACAAGACGGCTCTGTCCGTGTATGGGATGTTGAACTGCCTGCCGAGGGCCATAAGGTTGTCCAGCAACAGGTTGGAACAGCGCCTGCGCAAGAGGGAAGTGATACCATCGTCGCCGCCACAGGACAGACGGAGCGTCCGAACGCAAACACCCAGGGAGCTGCTGGTGGTAGCTCCGGCGCACCAAGCGGTGGCAAGAAGAAGGGCAAGGAGGTGATGATTACGCCTGACCAGATCAGCGCGTTCCCGACCAAGAAGACACCGGTCATGAAGGTGCAGTTCACGCGGATGAACCTGATTGTGGCCGGCGGCTGCTACGACCCCGACCGTTGAAAAGGATGATAAAGGCCGCCGAATAATGTTCTGGGCGGGTGGAATTAGATTGCTTTCATCCAGTTTGGCGTTGGGGGCGGGGACGAAGGGCAGGCATGTCTCTATAGGATAACCAGACCAGGCAGCACGCATGCCAGCTGTCTCTGTAAATCAGAAATACAATCGGTAGTTACTTCATCTCCTTACTCGCGATGTTTTGTTTGTCGGGCTGGAATGTCAACCACCATTTCGGTGTGCGGTGAGTGATGACTACAGGGGACGCCATTACCTTAAGCATGGGCCTGGGGCAGCTACAGGGGCCTTTGGGGGCTCCCGATCGGGCGCTGTGGCTGTAGCTCCCAATACCGAATGGGCAGCAGCGAATCACATGGTGTGGAGCAGCTGGTACCTTCGCATTGAGCGTCAGTAAGGTGAGGTAAGACCAGAACCAGAAGCGGCCGTGCTGCCTTGTCTTGCCTTGCGTAACCTCCAACTACGACATCCCGCCCTCTACTCTCCCCCATCCGCCTGCGTGGTCTTGATCTCGTCGACGCCAATCCGATCCACGAGTATCCCGATTACTGCGCGAATACACTTACCATGGATCCTCTTGAAGAGTCGCCCTGGGGCGATTCGCAACCCACCTCCGAGCCCAGCTCCCAAGCGCCCTCCTCCCAGAACGAGCCGTCGACGACGACGTCGCAGGCCGAGGCCAAGTCGGACGCTCCCAGCTCGACCTCCGCACCCCGTCCGTCACGCTCCGGTCCCGTCCGCCGTCTAGTCGCCCAGCCCACCCGCCTCGAGGCCGTCGACGATCCTCTCGGCCCCTTGGGCCCTCTCGGCGCTCCCGCCGCCGCCGACAATGGCGCCGACGCGGGCCTGGACGCTCCGCCCGTCCCGCCGCAGAAGGAGCAGATGGTGATCCGCACCACGATGCCGCAGCAGCAGGCCAGACGTTCCGGACCGGCCGACCCGCACCGCATCGACGACGACGAGTACGACCGCCCCTCTGGCCCGAGACAGCCGCCGCCAGTGCAGGCCGCGCATCCCAGTCCCGTGCGGACGCATACCCAGCCCAGCGTGAGCGTGGAGCAGGCCAGCAAACCAACCTTCCAGATTACAGTGGGCGACCCGCACAAGGTCGGCGACCTGACCAGCTCGCATATCGTCTACTCTGTGCGGACCAAGGTTAGTCGGGAAGAACGCATGATGGGTTGGGCTGGCGCTAATGTGGTGTAGACGTCTTCCAAGGCTTACAAGCAGCCCGAGTTCGAGGTCAAGCGCAGATACCGTGATTTCCTGTGGCTCTACAACACGCTACACGGAAACAACCCCGGAGTTGTTGTGCCGCCTCCGCCGGAGAAGCAGGCCGTCGGTCGTTTCGAGAGTAACTTTGTCGAGGGACGTCGGGCTGCTCTTGAGAAGATGCTGAACAAGACCGCCGCCCACCCGACACTGCAGCACGACGCAGACCTGAAGCTGTTCCTCGAGAGCGAGTCCTTCAATGTGGACGTCAAGCACAAGGAGCGCCGAGAGCCACTTCCCACCGAGAGCAAGGGCGTTCTTGGAAGCTTGGGCATCAGTGTTGGCAGCAGCAGCAAGTTCGTCGAGCAGGATGATGTAAGTGCAGTGATGTTATCTGGATGGTGCGTGACTGACAGCTGCAGTGGTTCCACGACCGCAAGGTGTACCTCGACGCACTCGAGAACCAGTTGAAGGCGCTGCTCAAGGCTATGGAGACAATGGTTGGCCAGCGAAAGATGATGGCGGAGGCTGCCGGAGACTTTTCTGCGTCCCTGCACGCCCTCTCCACCGTCGAGCTTTCGCCATCTCTGTCCGGCCCCTTGGATGCCCTGTCAGAGCTCCAGCTGACCATCCGCGACGTCTACGACCGCCAAGCGCAGCAGGATGTTTTAACCTTTGGTATCATCATTGAGGAGTACATCCGTCTCATTGGTTCCGTTAAGCAGGCCTTCGGCCAGAGACAAAAGGCGTTCTACGCGTGGCACTCGGCCGAGTCTGAGATGCAGAAGAAGAAGAACACCCAGGACAAGCTGCTGCGGCAGGGCAAGAGCCAGCAGGACAGGCTGAACCAGGTCAGCGCCGAGGTGGCTGACGCGGAGAGGAAGGTCCACCAGGCCAGGCTCCTGTTTGAGGATATGGGTCGTCTGATGAGGGCGGAGTTGGACCGCTTCGAGAGGGAGAAGGTGGAGGATTTCAAGAGTGGAGTTGAGACGTTCTTGGAGAGCGCGGTCGAGGCACAAAAAGAGGTACGTCACACATCCATATAACACAGACACACATGGTAACAGGCGCAGTTGATTGAAAAGTGGGAGACGTTCCTGATGCAGCTGGACGCCGAGGACGACGAGACGGTCTTTTACCGGCCGCCGGTCATCCAGTCCTCGGGCAAGCCGCCCGGCAACACGGCTATTGATAGGGCTCGTGCGACTATCAACGACGACTCCGACTAGAGGGCCGGCGCAGAGTTACGGCGCAAAAAGCTAGCTTATACCATCCTTCCAACGCAAAGCAGCAGTTTCTTCTTCTTATGAGGCATCCGATGGCGTGGGGGGCCGGATGAGTTTGGAACCAAGCGCATGTGTCGAGCCTTTCTTTGGTTGTTTATTGTTGTTGTACATATATGACAGTAGAGACCTCAGTGGTATAGGCTCAGGGCTCTCCGTAATCCCCGACTCGCTGCAGACCCGGGCACCCTGGGCGCTCTGAATCTCCTCCAACCGTTTTACCATTCCATCCATCGTCCATCGTACAAGTCCATTCATCCATCATCGCCACGTCTATGATGCACCCTTGACCTTTCCAAAGGTCTTGGCTGACTTCAATTTGTTCTGGTCAATGGAAGCGCCATAGTCGCCGATCAAATCACCCAGGTCGTAGGCGTCGTCCTCAGCGGCGGCGGCGGCGGCGTCGTCCTTGTCCTTTGCAGCAGCGGCGTCCTTTCCGCTGCCGGCCTTTGCGGCGTCACCGCCCTCGGCGTCCTTGGGGCCCTCGGCGAGATCGAAGGCGCGGCCGAAACGCTGACGGAAGGCGGCGAGCTTTCCGGCCTCGTCGACCTCGACGTTCTGGAGGGACTTGTCGGTGGGCTGCCACAGGGCGTGGTTGCGGGAGTCCTTTGCGGAGCGGACGAGCGGGGTGGGCGAGGTGGAGCGCAGGGTGTAGGTCGAGCCGTCGGAGAGCTGGATGAGCTGGGTGAAGGTGTAGGGGCGGCGGACGCGGGGGACGAAGGTTGCTGCGCGGGTTTGCGTTGTCGTGAGAGTGGTGGGCGTTGTGGAGTTGTATGGCACTGGCGAGGTGCGGGAGGATGATGTGAGGGTTGGGCGGAGGGTGAGCAGGCTCGTTGGCCTCGGCAGGTGGGAGGGAAGTTTTGACATTTTGGGCGGGGGTGGTGCGCGGCGGGCGGGCGCGATTGACCGGTGGTGGGTTGGGAATCTGAAGCTTTCGTGATGCTGCGATGCGGTGGTGAGCGTGCTGCCAAAATTTCGGTTCGGGGCCGGGAGGTTCCGTGCACGGTGAAGTGGGTTTGGATGGATGGCGCACCGGGGGAGGGATGTACTTATCGATAAGGATTTTTTCTGGGCTCTCGGGGGTGAGGGACCCTTTACATCACAGCTTCTGGGAGCTGCTGCAAGGGCCCAGAGGACAATGCAATTACACCGACGAACGGAATTTTTTGACGAAATCAGCGGCAATTGAGGCTTCGCGACTCAAAAAGGACTGGAAGCTTCAGCGAAAGCAGAATTTGGTAAAGACACCACAGAGGCATGGTACCTGGCGCGCAATGAGTGTGCTGGGGAATGCGCTGCGCCGGACGGCCCGGGCGAATGTCTGCGGGGAGACGTCGCGGAGGGCTCTTTTCGGAGCTTGTAAGCTTGATCTTGCTTCTCTGTGGTTTTTAGTTTGTAATTGACGTCTTGCAGCCCAGATCCGTGTCCCGACGAGACCGCAATGCCCCCTCGGCCGAACAACCACACCGTCCTCCGACCTCCTCCGAGCGATACACACATCACCACGGCGGGCGTCGACAACATGGCGCACTGAGCCGCCGACACCGCCAACGAACAAGGTTGATATGAAGGAGGAGCTGCCGGACCAGCTGCGCGGCGTGATGCGCCGGCTGGCGCACTCGGTGGTGGTGTGCACGTCGACGGACCGGGACGGGCGGCCGCGGGGGATGACGATGTCGAGCTTCGTGAGCCTGAGCATGGACCCCGTGCCGCTTGTGAGCTTCAACGTGCGGACGCCGAGCCGGACGCTGGCTGCGATTGAGGATTTGGACGGCCGGTTCAATGTGCATGTGCTGGCGGAGGGGGAGGCTGGGGCGCGGGTCGCGGAGTGGTTCACGAGGGGGAATTCGGGCGGTGAGGTGTTCAAGGAGTTGCCTGTGGGCGTGGAGGTTGAGGAGGAGGATGGGGAGGCGCCGGTGCTTGGGGGAAGGGGGGTGCTGTTTGTGTTGAAGTGTCGGGTGCTCGGGGAGGGGGTGGTGAGGGTGAGGGATCATGTTGTTGTCGTTGGGGAGGTAGAAGGGGTTAGGAAGGGGGATGGCGAGGGGTTTGGGCTTGTTTATGCGGATCGGAAGTATCGTGTGCTTGGGGATGTTTTGGTGAAGGAGGAGAGATAAGCGGGTGAACTAGAGAAGGCTCTGGGTCAAGTCATGAATGGAGGGGGTGTAAGATACCAATTCGTAGATACGGATAGAATGTACATTAGGGAACATCGCCCACTTGAACATATTGAAGACCATGTCAGGGGGTGACGAAGGCATTTTTACAGTTTTGCGAGGTCATTGCGAGTATCCGCTGTCCATATCAAGAAGAAGCTTGGGACTATCGGTCATGCGCTTGATTCCGAGGGAGGTTGCAGAGGCTTCGGTCAAGATCTCGTGGACAGGTCTTTCGATACCATCATCGCCGTTGGCCATAGTGAGGCTGTTTTAGAGGTTTACCAGGTCTGAATGAATGATTGCAACAAGGAAGCAAAGATAGAGCTGAGTCATTCAAGGAAAGGTGACAAAACGACAGGAGCCAAGTACATCGACAACATGAGAGGGGATTGTCAGACTCGAGCGAATATCAATATTCCCAGGTCCTCGTCATCATCTGAGGACAAATTGACATGTATGGGACATAGAGGGGTCCCGATGATTATGTGCCCAACCAGACGGACGGGATAGCCGTTGGCGTTCCGGGAGGCCGGGCCGTTTCATCGGAATTGCGGAGGCGGAGGCGGGGTTACGGGGTGGATGCGATCCGGTGTCCGATTAGTCGCCCGGTGGTTGCGATTCCGGCTGCCGGAGTTTGGTAGTGTTGAAGAAACAACAGAGATCCAGTAGTTGATCTAGCTGCACGCTGATCTACTAGAGGAGCCTAAAAATTGGATGTAGTCATAATAAGGGAGAGTTTCTTTTGCAATCTTTCGGTTTCGCAGTATTTCCAGCAAAACCGGTTCATCACAGGGTTTGAGGATGAATGCTTGTAAGACGGTTTTGGGACCTGGTTTCTGTTCATCTTTTGTGAGATGGACCATACTAGAGAAATCGAGAGCCTCGTTCTGGATTGCGCAGTGTTATTGACGCCGAGGTTGAGGCCTTGCTAGTTACCGAGACAAGGAAAGACTCATGGAAGTCTGAAGAAGCCCATAGAAATATGTTTCTGAGCTGGATGGCCGGCTGTGCTTACGCCCTGCGTCCTCACTGCAACTCCCCAGGAATGTGATCAATAGCCCCCATCAACGCAGGCAAACATGGTCTAATGTGTGATCTGAAGCCCCCCGGACCAAGCTGTCAATGTCGCAACAAGACATGGACCGTGCGACAGCCCTGGTGTGCCAATAATTGCAGCTTCAGCATGGGTGTCGATGCGTTGGCACAGGCAGACTGAGTGATACGGGGAAGGACGCCTCACTTTCAGCCTCGCGGGAGGGTGGGACCTAGCGGCCTTCACTTCAGGGACCTCGCGGCCTTGCCCGGGGCTGACCAACCCAAGCTGCCTGCCCGGGCGCTGCCCGCATCTTAGTCTACCGCCGCAGGGCAGCCTGTAGGTAGGCGCCAGCGCCAGTTCAGGCACCAGAGACGGGATTGGAGACGGTGAGGGGGCGACCTATGTCTGGCGGCCCACGCCGTCGCCTTCTCGCTCCAAGGATCTAGAACCACATTACCTACCTGAGGTGTTGTGGAATACGAACGGGACAGAAGATGCCAGCAACATCGGAGGCTGTTGAGGCTATTCGCAAAATGGTCAAGGAGGGGTAATGGCGACAGGCAGCACCGTAAATGGAAAAAAGAGGATGACCGCCCGGATGGAATACCCCACTGAGGGGAGGGTGCCACTTTGCAGAGGCAAGAGGCAAGGAGGGACACTGCCTGCCTTGCCTGGATAGAAGGACTTCGAAGCTGTGAAAGCTGTGTATGCTTGCTTGCTGGCTTGTTCTATTGGACGTCTGTGAGGCATTGGCAAAGGCAGCTCAAGCTCAGCTCCCTTGGTGGCAATGGCACAGTGAAAGACACCGGCAGGCAGACAAACGAAAGGCGGACAATGGGGAATGGGCAATCGCAGAAGGCGCCTTCCCATTCTCTTTTTTTCCATCTGCTGGAAGGGACCACGGCCCATACGCAGCAGGCAGTGTGGCCCGGTGGTGCATCTCCATCCAGCCCGCTAAAGGTGGCCCCCAGATCAGCCAATCAAGCCCCCCGCACGGTTGCTGTGGTGGCAGGGCAAGCGAATCAGAGAAGGGTCTGGAAGGCCTGGAGGTGATGGAATCGCATAGAATTTCTGAGCTGGGGGGTGAGCGTCGCTGCTTTGGGCCAGACGGGTTTCTTTTTTAGCCTCCTCCTCTTCCCCAAGTTGCTACTTCTTCCAATTCTTTTCCTCACATCACACACCTCTCTTCTCTTTTTTCACATTCTTCTCTTACGTCCATCTCGATCAGAGCAGCGAAACACCTGCCGCATCGTAGAAGATTTGTTCATCAAGGTAAGAAGCTGCTTCCTGCTGCTGTTGCTGCTGCTCCTCCCGCTGCCCCTCGTTCCCGGTCCCCCGTCCTAGCATCTAGAAACGCCACCCCTCTTTCACTTTTTGGCTTGCATTTTCTGTCGCAATCGTCGTCAGCCTCGTCGACGAGCTTCACAATTGCATCCCATCTTCCCCAGAATTGTTGTCCAGAGACTGTCGATTTCGTCCGTCTCTCGATTCCGTCTTGACCCCTCTACCCCGCCATTCACCGCCAACCACCCCGGCCGTTTGCAACACCAGCTAACAGACCTCTCCAGAATCACGACTGTTACGCCCTAGATACCCACATCCTCCATCACAATGTCTTCCCCCGAGACTTTCGAGTTTCAGGCTGAGATCTCTCAGCTCCTGTCTCTCATCATCAACACCGTCTACTCAAACAAGGAGATCTTCCTTCGTGAACTTGTCTCCAACGCCTCTGATGCCTTGGACAAGATCCGCTA